CCCCCCCCCCCTCCATTCATCCTAGGAATATTTCCAATTTCCTAGGAGAGGCGAGGAGGAGGAGGAGATTTTGTGCGAGAACAGTGGGCACTTAGACTAAGCAGATATAGCTAAATAAGAAATTTGGTCAAGCATGGCACAGAAAGCGGTCGTTCGCATATTTATACACGTAAGAGGACGGGGCAAAAACACTCCTCAGCACAATTTTTGAGGGCTTCAGGTCGCCTTCCTAGGCATGGAGAAGAAATTCCCTCCGATAACAGCAAAATTCAATAGAGCACAACAGCGTTCACTCGTGCGTGACAAAGAAACAAGTAGTAACAATAGATGGGCAAATTAAAAGGGAACAATTTAATGCATATACTTGTTCAGAAAAAAAGTGGGAGAGGCAGACCATATTTAACAAACCGTGTCCTACCTTAACTAACCCTGTCTCTTGCATTCCTTTTCTTCAAAGCAGACGATTACTCTCACGCCTGTACACTTGAGGAAGGCCAAGTTAATGTTCTTCTATACCCGATATCCCAATTCCAACCTTCTACGGTCGTATTTCATCGATGTGGAATTTCAAAAGCAAAACACTGCTCAACTCGTAAAGTGGTTTAGTAATTTTCGGTGAGCAATTTTTTACTAATTCCTAATTTTACAAATGCGAACAATAGTCGGGTTGGAAATATCTCAAGAAGTCAAAAGCTCGCTATTCAGAAAAGGCGAATTAAATTTATTCGAGCCAGTGGCACGCAATTCCAACTTCTTTAGGGATAAGTATATGCAGTTCACCTTCTCACTCCAATCTTCAGGCGGTTTAATTGTGATGGAAGGCGAGGGTTATAAGGTGGGAAACGTGCAAAAGTCACGCAAGGACCTAGAGTACATTTTGTGCTGGAGGAAGAGGAAGAACTCCCCTATGTTTACCCATCTATACTCAAAGAAATTTAATTACTCACGAGAAAGTAGAACTGTACCTTTTTTAGAAGCATTTTTTTAGGTACACAATGGTTGTGCGAATATAGCTGCCTGCATATGCAAATGAATGGGCTCTTTGCTCGATTTGCAAGAAAAAAAGCCATGATTTTTCTTTTCACGCAATCTAAAAAGGGGGTGTTTTGTCATGAGGAGAAACGATAACAAAGTAAGACCACTATATATATATATATATCTGACAGAACACCATTAAGATCGAAACGAGAAGGCGAAGCGTTTTAATGACAAAACGACTGGTTATTTTTCATGGCTTAAGTGTGTTTTTATCATGTCAAGGAAATTAACCCCCCCCCCCCTCCCTCTCCTTTCTCCCCTATTTTAGTGAATTCTACTACAACACAATAGACAAAATGGCAAGACAGGCTATTAGTCAGGGCATCCGAGAACCACTTGAGTTAACTGTTACTACTGACAGTGAAATTTACAGGACCCTGGTTCAACATTACAATCGTAACCAGCAAATTGAGGTAAGCACATAGATCTATAGGCCCCTTCAATGTTTCAAAAACATGGTTGACGTTTTCATATGAATTGTTTCAGGTACCTGACGAATTTCGAGTGGTAATTGAAAAGACTCTACGAGAGTTCTTTATGGCTATCTTGGCAGGGAAAGATGCCGAACAATCCTGGAAGAAACCCATCTACAAGGTGATCTCTAGGATGGACCAATCCATCCCTGAATTCTTCAGGGACCCCGCTTGGATTTCCCAATTATCAACGGAAGGCTAATGTGCAGAGATGCTTCTTTTTCTATTTTTATTCCATTGTCATGCAGACTACACGTTCTAAGTGTTCGAAAGATATTAGTATATATATTTACACACACACATATATATATATGTGTGTGTGTGTGTGTGTGTGTGTGTGTGTGGTGACTGAAACCACATGTAGAATTCTAAATAAAGTTTTCAACAGCGTATTCTCTGCTTTTTCATAGATTTTCAATATTTTTGGATTAAACGCCATAATCGTTGTAATAAAGTGCATCGAAATTTGGACTGTGGTTGTTTTCACGTATCTAGAACTGGCAGATCCAAAAATGTTAAATCGACGGGCAGTAAGTGAAGGCGGGTTCATTGTCATAAAGATCAAAAATGAAAGTGGGATGTCTATCTCTTTGTACTATACTTAACAAAGTGGGTGTAAATGAAACTTGAAAACTCAGTTCTGGAAATGACGATTCCATTTGGTCTAGGAGTTAGCAAGACAAACATGGGAACTTCGTGAATGGAAATATTTGTGAATTATTCTGTCAAATGCAGCTTAAAATTGACTACTTGCGAAGAACAATTATTGCGATTGTCTGCTCGCAAGCGACTGCATTCATTTTCATCCATTTTCCCCGGCAAAGTAGGAGATGTTCAATGTCATTCCTGCCAAATTTGGGGTGTGCGATAGACTTACCTCCACGTGGTGCACCCTGGGCAACGTATACTCATACGGCAAAAAAGTCTATTAACCGGCAGTTGACTTCTCACTTCAAACTACCACGACCCTCCCCCTGGTTGTCATATTCGACCCCTTCCACAGTATTCCCCTTACCTTTTTCTCTACCATTGTGTCCGTCTATCTCTTTTACATCTGTGAATCGCTCTTCTGTTCCCCACCCCCTCTCGACTTTCTGCTACTTTGATGAACCTTCCCTCTGTGAAGCCCGAAGCCAGCTAAATGGCTAATGATATCTATCAAAACGCCTGCCATTTGAAATAAATAAATTCCTGCCAAAAAATCC